CAGAGGGTGACTTGCCGCGGAAACGACGAGCAAGCAAAGATATGGAGGTGCCGGAGCAGGCTGAGCGCGGACATAAGGGCCCGTACAACAAGTTGGCCACGCCAGACCACTTTAACCAGCCTTGGTACCAAGGTGAGCCGTATTCCTTGAAGTTGTGTGATGGTTGGGTTGTGCATGTTGTGTTGTGTTGTAGTGCCGTGCCTGTTGTTGCAATGGTGAATCTATGCGGGAGGTGCCAATCTCCATCACACACACACACACACACGCACGCTCACTAACACAAGCATTTCACACACTCACTCGCTCACACTCGCTCACTCGCTCACATGCACACACGCTCACTCGCACACACACACACACACACACACACACACTCCCCTGTGCTTCCTTTCCCTCTGTTCCCCTGAACTTGACAGGCGAGCTGAGCCGTGTTGAGGCCGTGGCGATGGTTGAGTTTGAGCCATCAGGATCGTTTGTTGTGCGCGACAACCACGACGAGCCCGGACGATACATTCTCACATATGTGCACGGCGCGGGCGAGCTTGGGCACGTGGAGATCAAGCCCTACGGTGACGGCTATGGCCTGGAGGAGGAAGGCGCCATTGAGAAGCCGACGCTAACCGAGCTGGTTGAGTTCTACGCGAGCGATGCCGGACTCGCCACGGGCCATCTCGAAACGAAGCTGCGCCTGCCAAAGGGTGGCAGCGGTGTTGGCGTTGGTGCTGGTGTCGGTGTTGGTGGCGGGCAGAGCGCCGCAGCGCTGTTGCAGCCGCCGTCACCGGGCGGCATTCGCCGCGCATCGGGCGGCACCTCGCAACGCGCCGTCCACGAGCGACCGGGGTGGCTGCAGACGAACATGCCCAAAGCCCAGGCCCTGCAGCACATTGCTGGGCTGGACGACGGGGCGTTTGTCATCCGCAGCAGCGAGACGCGCAAGAACTGCTACGTTCTCAGCTACAAGTTCCATCGCCAGGTGCACCACGAGCTCATCAAGCACACGCCGCCGCCAACAGCGCGCTTCTTCCTCTCGCGCAACCCAAACAAGACCTTTGGGTCGCTGCAGGAGCTTGTGGAGTACTTCCAGGCGCCGTCACAGGAGCTGAAATACCCGCTCATTCCCGCATACATGGCCGCGTCTCCGCTCAGCCGCGGCGCAAGCAGGCGGAGCACGCGCGCCAGTGGCGGTGGCAGCGGCGGCGGCGGTGGCGGCAAGCCCCCACTCATGCGCCAAACGTCCCGCAACAAGGGGCTGACGGCACCCGAGGATGTGCGACGCAGCGCCAGCTCGCTGAGCCTCAACGGCAACGGCAGCCCAAAGGAGTTTACGCGATCGCGATCGTCGCGGCGCTCGCGTCATCGGGAGAGCGTGCGGATGGCGCGAACGGGGGAGCGGCTGGACCAGCGCGCAGCAACGTCGCACTGGTGCTGCCTCAACATGAGCAAGGAGGAGGCGATGGGGAAGCTGCCGCAGAAGGAGGGCGCCTTTGTTGTGCGCCGCTCTGATGATTATTTCGCCACGCTGACGATGATTGCAAACGGCAAGGCGCACCACTTCAACATTGAGGACACGACACAGGGCCTGCGGCTGAAGAAGTCGACGTCCTTCCAACCAAATTTGTCTGCGCTCATTGCCTACTACAAGATCCCCACGCAGGCAGACCTGCCCCGCTGCCTCATGGCCTGGTGATCCGTGCACGGTGTTTATGTATGTGATTGCGATTGTGTGTGTGTGTGTGTGTGTGTGTTGATGCGATTGTGTGTGTGTGTGTGCTGGTGCTTGGAGGAAGGGAAGGAGTGAGAACGAGAGAGGGAGAATGTGTGAGTGAGTGTGTGTGAGTGTGTGTGTGTGAGTTTGAGTGAGTGTGTGTGAGAGAGAGTGAGTGTGTGAGTGTGTGAGTGTGCGAGAGAAGAAAGGAAGAGAGTGTCATGTGTGTATCATTTCATCTTTGGAACTCGACTCTTTTACGGTATCCAAGCAGGACGCTTCGTTTCTTTTCTTCTTTCTTTGTTAAATCTTCATGCGTTGTGTGGTTGTGACTTGTTCGCTGTGTCTCCGTTTCATGCTGTCAGCTCTCACTAAACAAGAGAGGACGAACAAATGTGCATCTGCACCATGTGTTTGTTTGTTTGTTTTGTTTGTTTGCTCGTGTGTGTTTGGGATGGATATCAACGGTGCACGTGGTTGAGGCGTGTATTGGTGGAGTGGGAAACAAGCCCTGGGCGAAGAGAGAACGCGTTGGTTGAAGAAAGGCGCGTCCACGAGAGAGGGTGAAAAGCATCGCAGGAAAGCAGGGTGCCGACGACTTGCATGGGTGACAGCAGGAAAGCGGTGAAGGCGATAATGAAAGTGTTACAGCGACGGAAATGGTGACATGATGACCCATGGCATTCCAGAGGGGTCAGGCTCAAGCATCAAAAATCACAGCAAAAACCACATCATCACATCATCGCGCCACGTTACATCCAGGCGAGTCAGCAGCACCGAGCAAGTGCGAGCCGTGCTCTGCTCACGCGGCCTCGAGGAGAACGGCAATGCCCTGACCGCCGCCGATGCAGGCAGACCCGATGGCGGTCTTGGAGACGCCCTTGGAAAGGCAGTGGGCGAGGTGCGTCAGGATGCGTGCACCAGACATGCCGAGGGGATGGCCAAGCGCAATTGCACCGCCGTGGATGTTCAGCCTATGTGTGTGTGTGTGTGTGTGTGTGTGTGTGTGTGTGTGTGTGTGTGTGTGTGTGTGTGTGTGTGTGTGTGTGTGTGTGTGTGTGTGTGTGTGTGTGTGAGGTGAGATGGATGCTGCTGTAAGAATTGCAAACACGGGCGTGAGAGCATGAATGTGATGGACCGCCACCGGTCACGATCAAACACACACAGACAGACAGACAGACAGACAGACAAGACACACACACACACACAGAGACAGACAGACAAGACACACACACACGCAGACACACACACACACAGCTTGTGTTGCACGTGATGAACGTACTTGCTGAGGTCAATGTCGAGGGCCTTTGCGACAGCAAGGCACTGTGCACCAAACGCCTCATTCACCTCCACCTGGTCGATGTCGTGGATGGTCTTACCGGCCTTGGACAGCAAGTTCTGCACCGCGGGGACGGGGCCAATGCCCATCACCTGTAGGGAGAGAGAAGCGAGAAGAAGAAGAAGAAAGGGGAAGGGGGCGAGTGGTTGGTGAATAAACGAAAAAGCGAGGTGAGCAGGGAGGCAGTGGGAGACGGGAGGCAGGGAGGCAGGGGGCAGAGAGTCAGAGAGACAGACACACAAACACACAGACACAGACACACAGACAGACACAGACAGACACACACACAGACATACAGACACGCACCGTGGGCTCGACGCCGGCGACAGACCAGCCGACAATACGGGCGAGGGGCTTGAGGTTGTGCTGCTTGACGGTGTCGGCATCGGCGACAATGAGCGACGCAGCGCCATCGCAGATGCCAGAGGCAGAACCTGTTCGAAGGTGATGATGATGCAACGGCGCATGGTTGGAAGTCAGTGTGCACGAGCAGGTCATACAGAAAGCAAAAGGGCGCCACATACTGGGTCACCCCGATGACTTCATCGCGCGTCATTAAGCAGCCGCCAACCAATCGCCACCGGGTTATGCCGCCACCACCACGACGACCCCATCCTCCTCCACGTCATCATTGTCGTCGTCATCAATGCACCACAGCACCACCGCCACCATCACCACCACGACCAGGACCCCATCCTCCTCCACCTCATCATTGTCGTCGTCATCAATGCACCACAGCACCACCGCCACCATCACCACCACCACCACGCCCCCATCCTCCTCCACCTCATCATTGTCGTCGTCATCAATGCACCACAGCACCACCGCCACCATCACTGCACCTGCCGTGACGACCCCGTCCTTCTTGAAGACGGTTGGCAGCTTGGCCAGGTCCTCCAGCGTGGTCTGGGGGCGCGGGTACTCGTCCGCTGCGAGCGTCTTCGTCTTGCGCCCAGCCTTCACCTCAATGGGCGAGATCTCGGCGTCAAACACACCGGCATCGTGCGCTGTGGTGTGTGTGTGTCGTTGGGAGCGGGAGGGGTTGGTGGTGAAGGGTGTGTGTGTGTTGGGGGGGGGGATTAGTGGGAGTGTGAAGCTGTGGGAGAGGGGGCAAAGGTGAGGCACTGAGTCAAACTGGCGCAGGGTGTGCGTTCATGATGCGAGGACTGCGGGGCTCACAAGTACACACAGCGTCACACACATGCACACACACATGTACACACATGTACACACTGCACGCGCACACTGCGCGCACATACATGCACACACCAGTCTTCCACTTTTGCTGGCTGGAGAGGGCAAATTTGTCGCTGTCCTCGCGGGTGATGTCGTACTGCTCAGCAAGGTTCTCTGCAGTCACGCCCATCGGGGTCTGGCGCGCACAAGGGGTTGGCACGTTGCCACGTGATTGCATGCGCGTGTGCGTGTGTGTGTGTGTGTGTGTGTGTGTGTTTGGAAGCGAGGGGAGAGGCGCAAGAGCGATGTGAGCCATAAGATGATTGGTGATGGCGAGCGGTGGAGCATAATAGCCCATGACGCCAAGTAAATACACACACACACACACACACACAGGCTGCTCGCTCTCCCATCCTTTTTCCACACCAACGCACAGCGCACGCCAGCAACAGCAACAACAAGCAATCCCGGGTCACCTTGCAGTACTGGTCGGTGAGACCGGCCCAGAGGGTGTCCTCCATCTTGATGTCTGTGCCAAGGCGAGTGCCGAAACGGACATCGCGCACGGCATAGGGCGCCTGGGACATGGACTCCGTGCCGCCTGCAGCAGCAGATGCACGCGCACACAAGCGTGTGGGTGAGAACAAGACAAGAGGACAAAAGACAAAAAGGCAAGATGATCAAGAAGCTAACTGAGAAGCTAACTGAGAAGCTAACTGCGCTCATCCCCGATATCCACAGACACACACGCACGCATACACACACACACACACACACACACACAAAACACACACGCATACACGCACACACCAGCCAGGACGAGGCCGGCTTCGCCGAGGAGAATGTCCTTGCCGGCCTGAACGACGGCCTCAAAGCCAGAGCCGCAGAGACGGTTCACGGTGAGGGCAGGGGCGGGGATCGGGGCGCCGGCCTTGAGGGCAACATGGCGGGCAAGGTAGCTGGCATCCGCAGACGTTTGCTGCACCTGTTGTTGTTGTCGTGGCGTGAATCGGGTGTGTGAATCGGGTGTGTGAAGCAGAGGAAGAAACACAACAATATGGACACGACAATTCAGCAACGCCAGGGACAAGCACGCGAGCAAACACACCATCAGTTCAAGCTCCAACACTACGCACGAAACAGGCCACGAAGCCACGAAGCAGGGCGCACTGCACTGACGTTGCCGAAGACGGCAGACTCGATGAGCTCTGGGTTGATGTTGGCGGCGGCGATGGCGGCCTTGGAGGAGTGCACGGCGAGATCCGTGGCAGAGACGCCCTTCAGGGTGCCACCGAAGCTGCCGCAGGCCGTACGCTGGGCAGCCACGATGAACACGTCCTTGCCCAGGACCTGAACACTACGCAGAGCAGACATTGTGGTAAGCAAGCAGGAGGAGGCAGGGTGGAGCGTCTGTGTATGGGATGGTGTGTAATGACGAAAAATGGATGACACGGGTTGAAGTCGCAAACACAAAACATGATTTTTTTGTGTGTGTTGGTGGTGATGATGACGGTGATGATGCGGTGTGGTGTTGCGGTGAGGTCGCTGCCAGTGGCACTGATGGTGATGATGATGATGATGATGGCGGTGGCTGCTGTTGGGAACGATGGCAGCACCAACGACGCCAACATCGACGGCATGATCTACATGCCAGGAGGTGTGTGTGTGTGTGTGTGTGTGTGTGTGTGTGTGTGTGTGTGTGTGTGTGTCTTGTGTGTGTGTGTGCGTGTGTGTGTGTGTCTTGTGTGTGTAACTTTGTTCATTTGTCTGTTTGTGATTGTGTTTGTACGGCTTGTCCTTTGTCCTGTGTCGCGGTATGTCTTTATGCGACACCTCACGGTTGAGTTGTTTCTTGTTGTGGGAGAGATAGGGACGTTCAGGCTGGGAACAAAGAAAGCAGACTCAACGCACGGCATCACGCCACAACGCAAAGTATGTGTGTGTGTGCGTGTGTGTGTGTGTGTGTGTGTGTGTGTGTGTGTGTGTGTGTGTGTGTGTGTGTGTGTGTGTGTGTGTGTGTGTGTTGCTGGTTTTCGTTGTGTTCCCCTCGTGGTGTTTGAACTGCAATGTTTTTGTTGCATGACACTGTGCGGCCTTGTGCTTCTTCTCAACCTGTTCTTGTTCCTCCCCTCTCCCCCTGCCCGCTCCCCTCTCCCCTGCCCCTTGCATTTGTCGCTGTGCACGCTCAAAAGGTGACGGTGGATCCGTTTTATCTTGATCGGTATGCTGTGAGCAACGCCGACTTTCGGGCGTTTGTGCGCGACACCAAGTATGTGACCGACTCGGAAAAGTATGGCTGGAGCTTTGTTTTCAAGACGTTTGTGGACACGGCGAGCCAGGACCTGGCGGAGACGCAGGCGATGCCTGGTGCGGACTGGTGGCTGGCGGTGCCACGCGCATACTGGCGCAAGCCGTTTGGCAAAGGCTCCGGCATCAAGGACCGGCTGCAGTTCCCTGTGGTGCAGGTGAGCTGGAATGACGCGCAGCAGTACTGCGACTGGGCCGGCAAGCGGCTGCCGACCGAGGCTGAGTGGGAGTATGCCGTGCGTGGCGGCCTGCAGGACAGCGCCTATCCTTGGGGGTCTCGCTACGAGAAGAATCGTATGAACGCCTGGCAGGGCAAATTCCCAGGTGTGTGCGTGTGTGCAGGGAGGGGGTGTACTCGTGTTGGTACGTGAGGGTGTGTGTGTATGTATGAGCGCGCGTGTGTTGTTGTTGTTGTTGTTGTTGTTGTTGTTGTTGTTGTTGTTGTTGTTGTTGTTGTTGTTGTTGTTGTTGTTGTTGTTGTTGTTGTTGTTGTTGTTGTTGTTGTTGTTGTTGTTGTTGTTGTTGTTGTTGTTGTTGTTGTTGTTGTTGTTGTTGTTGTTGTTGTTGTTGTTGTGTGTGGTGTTTGAAGAGGTAGTTGCCGTGTGCATACGCTGCACTCTTTTTGTGTCTGTCTGTCATACGTACCGTTACCATGGCCGCCTTGCATTGCAGCCTGCTTACTTGGCCATCCTTTCCACTCACACAACGGCGCAGACACGAATGTGCTTGGGGACGGCTATCACGGCGCTGCGCCTGTGGACGCCTATGGCCCTCAGAACGATTACGGCTTCTACAACATGCTGGGGAACGTGTGGGAGTGGGTTGCTGATCGCTTTGAGGATCCTTCACCCCCATCTCAGGTGCGCGCGTACGTGTGTGCGTGTGCGCGTACGTATGCGTGTGTGTGTGCGTGTGTGTGTGTGTGTGTGTGTGTGTGTGTGTGTGTGTGTGTGTGTGTGTGTGTGTGTCGTGT